CACACATATAAGGTGGGGCAACAAATGATGCTACAATAATTTGTGATAAGTTCCCCAGTAATTTATTACAGACAAATGTTTTCATTAAATGAATGGATTATGATTTCTACATACAGTATGGTGATTTTTAATGACACTGTAAGACTAACTGTTTTGCTATCTGACTCCCAGTACTTCTTAAATGTAAGGCCATTTAACATTTCAGTGACAGTGATGCTTACTTTGATGTCCTCATCTATTATCCTGACATATACAGCAGACCAAATAGTCATTTATGTCGAACCACCATTGTTAAAAGTAAAGTTTGACATTTTGGTAAGTACATCTTTGCTTTTTTGCCAAAAGTTACGTGACTACGCTCATGTCTTGGATCTAAGTATGGAGCAGGGGCTGACAGGCGATTAGCTTAGCTTAGCTTAGCATAGCATAAAGAATAGAAATACCCTTTTCCCACCATAATTTAATGCGATTATCAGGGTTTAGTTTTAAGAAAAGGGGAAAATTCACTAAAAATAGGCGATGGATTCCTTTCATGTTGCCAGTAGACCACAAAGTATGGCTTCCTGTTTTCTCTTTTTTTGTTGTGTTCTTTACTGATGTGTCACATTCGACTTTATGGATGTGCCAGAAAACAGGTTAGTAAAAAACAGAAAGCAATTTCGAGGCCAGTGAAAATGTTACAGTGGTTGGCGCAGACTGATATCGGACGATATCTGAGTGCTGCTTGGACAGTGATGGATGGTATTTTGTAGTGGCGTGTCATTGCAAGAGGCAAAAATTAGAGCGTCCACCCAGGCGGTGTATTTCTATCATTGGCAATCGGAGCTGGCGCTGGTAAATACTTGTGACTACTGCAAAATCATTTGTCCCAGAAGTGACTGCTGATTGTAACCTTTCCCATTAAATACAAAAGGCGGATGTTAGTGGGCGTAAGTGTGTTTTTTTGCCCAAAAAAATCTATGCTGTTTCCACCTGCGTCCAGTCTTTACGCTAAGTTAGGCTTACCACCCTCTGCCTCTGGCTTTATATTTAGTGTACAACCAGCAGAGTGGTATCAACCCTCTCATCCAACTCTTTGTAAGAAAGTGAATATTTACATCACCTGAATTACCAAACAACACTTTTAATGTAGGCCCAGGTAACATGACCAAAATTAAAAAAACTCTTACATATATGACTCATAAATGTGAAACAAAATCTTCAGTGAGTTATTTTGTCAGTATTTCATTTAAAGAAATGATCAGTATCACAAAACCATACCATACAATTACTAACGGCTCATTTCCAAATAGCTCTGTGTATGTATGTAAGTAAAACCCAAGTCCCTTCATTCCCAGTGTGCCACAGGAAGTTAGCATAAAAACAAATTAGCAAACAGATTTCTAAGTGTCATACAGCTCAACTTATATTTTTTATATATTTTTTCAAATTGAAAAGTTTAACAGCATGTTTAGCTGGCAAACATTAGTAGCATGCTAGCTCTGTCACATATAGAATGCATGCATAGAGGATTATCAGTCGTTTGACAAAATGTTTCACAAAACTGGCTACAAACCTGAAAGGCCGACCCACTTATCTGTCGCTATGCATTATTGGTCCTGTTTTTGTCTATGCACCACTCCATGTACATATTCCAACAGGCTGGACGGTGAAAAACATGCAAAATTAACTTCTCTGCCATTTCTTCTGTGGTGTTTCCGTCCAACCAAATAAAAGTGCACTTTCTTGCATTGAACACTGGGAGAGTACTCTGTATATTTTGCGGAAATATGGATACAAAACAAAACTGTGTGCGAACAAGTTGTCACATTAACAATCACACAAGCTGCCATCAAAACAGACCAATGCGCTTGAACACAAACTTAAAGCACACACATTCAGATATGTGCATTTGTACTCATTAAGACAGGCAGGTATATGAACACTAACACAAAAAGTGTGCATTTGACTGCGGCAATGTACACACAAAATATTTTTTGTGTGTGTATACAAGTGTGCATAGACACACACACGCTGTCAGGTTCATGCACAAACTTGCACTCTCAGAGATGTACACACACACACACACACACACACACACACACACACACACACTCCACACATATGCTAAGTGTTCTTATCTGTGACTTGTGTAGAGGTGAGTGACAGGAAGGGAGGCGCAGGGGGGAAGTGTCCTTTAGGTATCTTAATTATGGCTCCTCTCCTCCCTCTCGCTGTCACCGTCCCCAGGGGAGGGCAAGACAAAAGGAAGGCAATGTTTCATCTCTGCTGCCTTGGTATTTCAAATTCCAAGGGGAGTAAGAGGAGAGAGACAGCAGGGTGTTACATTGGTGGAAGAAGAGGAAATCAAGTGACGCTTCCCTTTTCCCTCCATTTCTCTCTTCTTGCCTCCTCTGCAGCTGTGTTTAAAATAAGGCACCTTAATAAAAGCGTTTTAATGGCATCAAGGCAGGAAAAAAGGCACAACTTGATTACTGTGACGGTTTTATTTAATGAGCTCAAAGCCTCTGGCTCTAAATTATTGTGGGAGTCGTCTGTGGTGTTAGCAATCGTCTTTGTGATTTACACCTTCCTCAGTGCGCACCTGGGTTTTTCATCCGGCCCCACCAGGGGAATGCCGCTCCGCCATGACAGAGAGGAGGGTGTCAGAGACACCTTGGCAGGTAGGCAGACACAAAGACAGCCTGCTGTTAATTATTGATGGGAATAAATTGCACTCATTGGATGTTTGGCAGGGGAACACATGGTGGATGTGAATACAAATGTGTTTATAAATGTGTGTTTACAGAGTGAAAAAAAGATGGCAAGAGAAAACAGCTTTAAGCATACGAGAAGGGGGTAGAGAGGCAAAGAGGGGGCAAGGTGGAGGAGGAGCCGATAGAGTGATGGGAGTGATACCTGGTAAAGAGACATTAGAGAGATGCAGAGGGAGTCTATAAAAGCAAACTACTCCTTAATGTCTCTCACAAGTGTGATAAAAGCACAGAGCTGCAGCACAGAATGCTGGCCTTTCCATTTGTGCGAGAAGAACAAGGGAACATTCAAAAATACAAACTATTACACACAAATGCTAATAGAAAATGATTTTGTGAATGTGCCCGCACGCACACCTATGCAAACAAACATTCTTAAAAAGGTCAGCTCTTTTGTTTTGGGACACAAGACCTCTCACATGAAAATATTGACTGAGAAAAGGGGAGCAATGCAAAGTGCGGTCTTACAATGAGATGGGCAAAGAGCACGGCGTCCTATCTGTATTCTGAGAGCCTGCCCTCTTATAAATATTGGAAGAAGGACAGTGGTGGGGAGAGGAAACGGCCAAATGGTGCATTTGAGAAATGGCACACCTGAGCACCGCACGGAATATCATCTCCTCCTGTCAGATCTCATCCCATTTGATCAAAATAATTGCCACCTTCATCGTTATCATCAATTCTGTCATCTTCACTGGCGCCATCGCCATTCTCCATCTCATCAGGGCTTCTTTGGCTTCAAGGGGGGGATTTCTGGATCAGATCAAATGTGGACCATCTCATCTGAGAAAATCACTCGTAGTGTTCCCTCATAGTTATCACCATATTCATTGCCTTAATGCCACTGACATTTTGCTCACCTATTTAAATATTCTGACACCAGCAAATCTTCGGATTCTACGAAAATAGCCTGGTTTAGCCGTGCAGGCTCGTCTATCATAGATGTCCGGAGAGAGGGCCCTGCTGTGCTTTAGTCTATGATGATTCTCTCTGTAGCCAGCAAGGGTATGAAAAATTTAAAAAAGAAAAATGAGAAAAGGACAGCTGCTAGCCTGGACTGAGGGTCAACAGACACTCAGCTATATTACTGATGTTCATGTTCTGGCACCGCAGTTCTTTTGGGGTAGAGTGAACGAGCCAGTTAGCAGATGACAATCTGCTAAAACTGACAGACGGCCAAATATGCAACAATCAACATTTAGTCACAGTCTTAAGATACAAGATTCTAAGGTTAAAGGAACAGTGTGTAAGATTTAAGGGGGATTTGGTGGCATCTAGTGATGAGTATTGCAGATTGCAGCCAGCCAAAGATTCAGCTGGTTAGATTTCCCTCAGTGTTTGTTATTAAGGAGGTTTTTAAAGGTAGATATAAATGACTCATTTAAACGTAACAAAAATAAAACAACCCTTATATTCAGGTGGTTATATACTAAAGAAAACACACTTATTACGCTATAATCCATTTATGCCAATATATGCCCCTAAACCCTACAAACTGGACCTGTAAGTGGTGAAGACGCACATGCACTGCCGGTGTGTTTATCCTCTAAGCCATACCTCTCCCATGTGTGTCCATGTGTGTCAACCTGGCTGCATTGTGCAACTCACTGGGGCCCTCTTTATACTACTGAAACAGCTTGTCTCATCTGTTTTCACTTTAGCAGCCTAATAATACTGCACAACATTGGACAGACGGCTGGTCAGTCTTCAGTTACAGCAGGGCCAGCATACAACCAAGTCAGTTTGCCGTGGAAAAAATGCCACACACACACACACACACACACACACACACATACATTCTCTCACACATAACTAAGCCTTCGTAACCACTTGAAACATGGGACCACATGTACAAGCAGAGTCTTGATACTGGATTGTATGAAACTGCAGTTCTGCCTCGTCACAGAGAGTGTCAGTAAGATAAAACAGACCTACATGCACCACAGTCGCCTCTCAACTTGTCATATAACCCTCTAAACACAGTTACAAGCCCACATTCAAGAGTCTTATTATATTACAGTGAACAAGTTTGTCATTAAACAGCAAAGCACTGCGGAAAATTACTTTCTATAAAACTGTGTTTATGGACAAAACCAGTTTTTGGGGGAGCTTTCAGATCCATCAACATCTATTAAGACTGTTAAGTGTACAATATTAAATCCCTGGAGGGAGCTGAAAGCGTAACAAAGCGCTAATGATAATGGAAGAGGAAGTGGCGATGCTAACTTGTTTTTAAACACTCCTTACCTTGGCCATTTGGGCCTGCACCCCGGTGGCTTTGAGAGACGACACGGCCTTCTGTGCTGCAGCTGGGCTGTCAAAATCCACAAAGCCATAGCCTGGAGAGAAATAGGAAGAGAGGGAGGGAGAGAAAGGAGAAAAAAGACAGGCATTAGTAAAGAAAAAATGAAGGCAGATGACTAACAAGGAGAATGACAGGCACTTGGTAATTGTAGCAGTAATAGGTTGGTAACATGACTACAGAGGCTGCCAGTTCTCATATCTGGTGAGCACTACATTGTTTGATAATTAGCGACGTTGACGTTCATAGGGGGATGCTATGCATCTTAATTAGTAGCATGGATGAGCGATTTAGTAATAACAAACCCCGGCACCCTGCCCACCTCCACCTCCACACACACACACACACACACACACACACACATATGCAAACTCACACAGAGATACGCACACTTTTGCACAAACAAAAACACACAAGCACCGAGTAGAGTGCAAATCAGAAACACACAGCACCACTGTTGTAATTCTGTTGAAGAGATATTCTTATTTGTAGTCTGCAGTTTAGTATTTACATATTTTAAAAAGTCCATGATTAAAGAAATAATACACGTGTACACACTCACACACAGAGACGTGTCAATTAATCCTTGAGAACATCGAGTCATTTTCAGTTTTCACTTGTTCAGCCTTTTGATTTTCGGAGACTGTGAAGTTGGCTGGCCCACATCGTGTTCCCCAGCACCCGGCATATTAACACAACCCCATTTCAAAGCCTCCATAATCCTCTCCCCGGTAACAAATCTCTCAAAGGTTGACAGCATATCACAAAATGCTGCTATTTCTCTGTGTCTTTCTTCAGCTCCATCTCCCTTACATACACATAAACACTCATATTTGTCAAACGTAGCCTTTCTGTCCACCTTCTTACCATCTTTGTCCCTTTTCGTCTCTCACACACTCTCTCTCGATGTGTGTCTCTCTCTCTCTCTCTCTCTCTCTTGCTCATATTTTTCCTGACATTAACAGCCACCAGACCCCATCTGGAAATTCATCACCGGAGGAAAGCGGAGGGAATGAAATCTGCGGCTGTGATTTATGAGTTATTGTGATCCCGACGTTCTCCGGGATGTATCGGAGACGGGGGTCACGTCTGTGTTAATTAAAATTTGGTGGCGGATTAAAAGCAGTCAATGGTGCCCTATGATCCAGTGTTTCAGAGGGAAAGTGTAATTAGAAAAGGATAATGGGTGTGAGGTGGGGGGAGACTCGCTGCTGTGGTTACCCCATCATGTTACAAACCATCAAACGCTAACACCTCACTTTCCCACCATGAGTTTTTCTCATACAAACATCTCACTTTCTTAGACATTTGAGGTGTGTGTCTGTGCTGTGGTGGTGGTGGAGGTGATGGTGGTGAGGGGCTGGGGGTTGGGGTCATTTTCCTGTCGTATGGCGGTGAAGGAGTGTAGAGTAATGTGGAAATCATAACCTGTGGCGGAAGAGAAATCGAGTGTGAGGACTGATTAATGGCCAGCTGTTAGAGTGAGGCTGGGAGGGGTGGGTCTTTAATTGTGGAAATATGAAGAGCCAGTGCAAAAGGATTCAAACACAGGCGGCAGGCAGAATAACCGTACCCTTTCTTTGAACATATATTATGTCTTAAATGAGACTGCAAGTAAACAGTACATACAACCATTCTGTCACATTAGTGCGCCTGCAAATTTAGTCAGTATGTAAAGAAATCCAAACTCGACTCACATAAGAGCAGCTTATAAAAATGTCTTCAGAGGTGGAAAGACTAGTTTTAATGCTTTAAATTATCATTATGAAGTACATTTTGATTGCAAAATGTAATGGATATAAAATAATATCACCATCAGTATTTAGATTGGTTTCCTATAAGCCTCACTTTGACTATGCAATTCTGATTCTGTCTGCCACCTGGTATGATCTCCTAGGAAAATGAAGGCTCGATTTAAGGCACAAAGGAAGTGATGAACCATTGTGCAACCCAAAAAGAAAGAGGATAGTGGGTTTATTTCTACAGTAGCTTTTATAATGTAGTGGTTAGAGCACTCGTCTTCCATGCGGAAGGTCCAGGGTTCAAATCCTCCTGGGGTTGACGTCACCAAAGGCATGGGGTTGCAAAAGGTTGCCACCGCCGAATCAAACAAGATCAGATTCCTTAAGGAGGCTTCAGGATAAGAGACTAACTCCAGAATCTGATCCAAGTCTGGCGCGTCTCAAGCCCGTTGTAGACGGGAGGTTCCAGACATAAAAACGGATTCAGCTTTCATGAATGTATAAAGAGAACTGGGTGTAGTGTTAAAGGGGACACCCGGCTCATTTCTATGAAAGCTTCTCAGTGACTCATGAAGCCAAAAAGGTTCAACTGTTACATGTAGAATTACTGCTTCCACATCATGTGGCCCTTAGTGCAAGTGCACTAGAGACTTCTGCCGGCCAACCAGCTACTTCTGGTTTTGCACCCCTTTAACTTGAGCTGTGATGAAATGCAGCTCTTCTAGAATTTCCAAATGTTATCAGACCAAATCCTGATAATGAAACCCTCATAATGTGAGAGGTTTGATGCTCAAAAAATGGATTCACTGATTTATAGACGTCTATTTTAGAAAAAATCTTTCTAGGCGCAATGGCATCACGAGAGACTCTGGAGGTATAATTCCACTGTTTGGCCACTACAGAAATTAGTTTCAAAGCCTGATACAGTCCCTGGAGGCCTGTTAGCTACAGATATCTGTTACCAAAGAGTATCAGTGTTAGGCCTTTGAGGTTACTATCCCAAGTACTGGTGGAACAACCAAAGTGGAACTTTGGAGAACAAAATGCAGTGTGTCCTGTGTTGTAGGTAGTTGCTAGGCTCTGAGGAAAATGAAAAAGCCATCCAGTTGTCTTTAAGACAGCGATGCCAACATTATATTGCTTGGAAACATTGAGGGGGGCCGTTGAGAAGTTGTCTGTTTCCACTTTAATTGGCAGTATTGGTTTAACCAAATTACAAAAAACATATTTTCTCTGGCCTCCAGCGGTATCTAACCATGCAGATAGAGTTTAGTGGATTTTCTTTGGCCAGGTTTTGAGATTTTTGCCTCCTCCTCCCAAATACAATGGAAGAGAATTGAATTTTGGAAGTGGTGAGAGTGAAAGCAATGTGTCTTTTCAGAGACAGTCTCCCTGTCACTGTGGATAATCCACAGACCACGGTGAAAAACTACCAACATAAAGTGTCTTTGTGAGATGTCGGGCCACCACAACTACTGAAACAGCTTCACTGTGCCTTGGCATTGACTGTAGAGTCGCTGGAACTCTACCAGAGGGATGAACGCCATTCTTCCGAAATATATTTCCTGCTTTGGTGTTTTGATGATGGCGGTGGAGAGTTCTGTCTAAAGGGCAATTCCGTATGGAAAGTGATTTTGAAGAGTTTTTGACATTTGTTTTCCCTGGCATCCTTAGTGGAGTGAAATCTTCACTGCTTGAATCTCCAGCGCCTGATATTTCAGAACATTTAATCCAGATCAGAATTATCTTAAGGGAATTAAATCTCAAAACTGGGCTCTTCAAAATGAGGGGATGTGATCCTGATACCACAAGTTGGGATACAGATTTTAATAACTGATGTTATGACCTTTTGCCTTTATCCAGTGAGACATTTAATTAATAACAATGAAAATAATAGTGATAATAATCCATTACACTGATAAAGCACTTCTCCTAAACTCAAAGAGCTTCGGAAGAAAAAACCCCAACAATAATAAATACAGCGACAGTTAGACCAGGTTAGTTATATCAGGCCCCAGCTCATTCCTCAATCTGGTATTAGTAAGTGAATATGAATAATATGCAAACCTACTAACACTTCCTGACATTTTCACATTTGTGTTTATGAAATGTATTACTCTGACTGACAGATGGACACCTATCCAAAGACTACAAGTCCAGATTCTGTGAACTGATCTTGTGGAATCTGCATCAGAATCATTGTGTCTTAAAATTCTTTTAGAAATCAGGGACAAAACCTACAAGTTTCTTTATCTGCAACAGCAAAAATAGGGATTACAAAATGTGTATATTTCTGTTCTGGATTAAATGTTTTGAAATACTGGGCCCAGCTGTTCATAACATTGGCCGCCTGTTTCTCCATGAGCTTTGTTTCTCCTCAGCCACATAATGAATAAAATCAATCAATCAATACATTAAAACAATGCTGTTTTCTTTCCACAAGCTGCTCATGGAGCCTACTTGAAATCAATTTTTGTCCAGTGAATTTTTGTCAGTCAGCGGAGGAAAGTTTGTCTGGCTGCTATCCTCTCCGCTCCTCAGGAGCCGTGCTGCTGACAGGACTGCTGAGAACAGTTATGTCCAAATGGAGACTGAAGTTGCTGACGTCTTACTTATGATATGGATTCCCAGCAAGATGTCGCTCCAAATTCTTCCATAAGTTTTCAGTTAGGTTGAGATCTGCTGACTGCAAAGGCCATAGCATGTGACTCACACACCATTTTTATACTCATTAACTGTTCAGTTCCTCGTATGGGACCCATTCAGGGTTTTCCTTTTAATTTGTCGCATGTGCGTGTTTCTTTGTTCACACTGAGGTGGAGTATCCAGAGTAACGGGCATGCTGTTGTTGGAAAGACATGTTCTATTGAATATTTTAAATGCAATTTTTCATTGATGTGAGCACCACCAACAAAATTCCATTCACCTCAGCTGCACTTGGATGGAGGCACAAAACTCTGAATGAATCTCTCCAAATGTGGGCAAGAAAAACAAAACTTCCTGAAAGACTAAACGAAACCAGAGGTGAGTGCTTTTTTGTAAAGTGGGTGAACTAGCCCTTTAAACACCAGCTATTGCATTCTCTCTAGATCTAAGACACATTAAAAGTACATTAAGAGAACCACACAGATTGTTTCTGAGGCCCTGTGGGTGACGGCTGGTACTCTTTAATAATCAGAATATTCCAATGGTGGATACCTGGGACCCCCAATTACAAATTTAATATTCACCCCAGTGCCACCTGGAGTGCACTTATCAAACTTTCAGCAGGATGAGGATTTTAGAGAATGCTGAC